ATGACCATACGTCAGAAGGATAATAATAACGAAGCCGCGCCATGACCATACGTCAGCACCTGTGCAATAATTACGCGTGTGGGGGCCATTATTTCAAAAAAGGGATCTCGCTGAACACCTCACTGACCTGCGTGATCATACCTTGACGCGTTCTTATTACTCGCTGGACGTATGAAAGACGGTTCGTTCCTTGCCTGAATGGCAAGCCCATCGGTTGCTGGTCCTTAAAGGGACGCTCCCTGAAGTGGAAAGGAAGGCTCCGAAAGGCTTGTGAGGACTTCCGGGGAGAAGACTTGGAACGGGAGCGTGGATTGCAGAATCGTTGATACATCTTGGGCTTGCTCTGGTTCTCCTCCTCCTCCTCCTCCTCCCCCTCCTCCTCCTACTTGTCCTTTCCTTTCCTCCTCCTCCTCCTTTTCCTTTCCTCACCTGGGGGGGCAGCCATCGGTATCGTTCAGCCGATCCCCATCCCCATCTCCATCCCCTTCGAGACCCCCACCGAATTACCACCCCAGTTGTGGATACACCCCTCGAAGCCCGACGAGAACGACCAAGATCCCCATCTAGGGGGGTAAATCGGCCAGTGGGGCCCAGGCCACGCCGCCGCGTGAGGGCAGACTCTTGTCGAGTCGACGGGGCGGCGGCCCCAGCTCAGGCGTTCAGTGGTGAACAGCGCCGGTGACCCAGAGTCGTCCCATATTCGGGAGCCTTGAGACGGGGGGTCAATGCAGACGGGGGTCAGCCAGAGCGCTGGATCTTGCAGGATCCTGCAGGGCCAGGGTCGCATTGACCCGGGTTTGGGTGCAGGATCCTGCAGGATCTTGCAGGGTCCTTCGCATTGACCCGGGTTTGGGTGTAGGATTTTGCAGGATTTTGCAGGATTGCTGGCCCGGGTCTGGATTGACCCGGGTCAGAAGATCCCCGACATGGAACGACGGCCTGGCCATCGAAGCGCCGTTGATCTTGCAAGGCTGGGCGATCCACCCGGAGGCAGGCACCAAGGCCAGGGGTCGTTACGATGCGGGCCCGTCAGGTGTGGAGGCGGCGAGCACGGCGGCCAACCGCAGTTCTTGCACATCTCGTTGGCGTCGCCGAGGTTCTTGTCCGCTTGCAGCGGAAGCCGCCTGCCCAACAGCGGCCGCTGTCGGTGTTGGACAACATTTGCTGTTGTTGGGTGTCGATTCTTCTGTGCCCACTTCGGCGATGCCAGACAAAGGGGCGTGTGGGGGTCAAGGACGGTCGCGGGGAGGGGGGAGGCGGTAGTAGCACGGGAGCCACTTGTCTCGCTCCTCCCCTGTGGGTCAGACCATTGCGTCACGAGGGCACCGTGGGATTTTGACTCGGTGTCGGTACCGCCGCGGCTGGCGTGACCTCGCGGGGTCTCTCGAGGAGCCCCTCGGGGGCCTTCCGGGTGTCTTTCGACGTCTCCCGGGGACCTCCCGGGGTCGCCTTTGGGCGGGGAGGGTCCTGGGTCCCCTGGCTCAGCGCGCGCTCTGCGGCCGATGTGCTGAAAGAGCTGTGGCTCGGTGTCGGCTTCGGAGCCCACGGAGGCTGGCGCGGCATGTCCTCGCCGAGGAGCTTCCAGGAGCGCCCAGGAATTGTGGCAAACCAAGGTTTAGGCCCTACATAATCATCCCGTACACAGATGTATGATCCTCAAGTCAGGGGCATAGGCTCAGTGGGAACTGCTTCGACCCCCCAATCTCGCGCCGATCGCCAACAGGGGCCTGATAGCCCACCCAGCCCACGACCCTGCGGACTCGCTGTCGGGGGCCTGTCGCCGATCTGCCTGCGATGTACCGCCGATTCCAGCTTGATGGTTTCTCTCCCTGAGCGGGCTCCCCCCTTACAGTCAGCCCCTCGTCGGGGTACTCCGTGGAGCAGTGCTGACGGCGCGGTTGCAGCTGGTGCCTGCGACCTTAGCGAGGTGTCGGCGTGGCGGCTGCTGCCGTGGTGTGTCGTTGGCCCTCAGGTTCTTTGGAGCGCGACGCGACGTGGTGCGAGCATGGTGTCGCCGACTACTTCGACGGCGTTTTGTTTCAGTGCTGTGCAGCTCGCTGGCGCAGCAGACCAGCCGATCTTCCCGACTCCTGGTGTGCGCTGTGCCGTTCCGGCTGAGGACATGGAATACGAGTAGATCCGCCAGGGCGGGCCCTTTCACGTTTGGCCATGCGTCTGCAGCTAGCTTGCTTTTGTCCCATCCTCACGGAGCAGTCGGCTTCTGCTTCTCCAAGTTTTCCTGAAACCTGTTTTCCCTGCGTGCTTTCCGTTTACGACAGGTTCGCATCGTGTCGACGACGTGGCGGCGACCCCGCCGCGGGCGTTCAAGTATGAACGCCGCCAGTGGCCCGGAGTCTGCCACTACGTCACGATCTGGCGGTCGAAACGCCGCCGATCATGCAAGGGTGAACGATGCCCGCGGCGTCAGAAACCAGCGCCCCAGTCGTTCCGACACGAACCTCCCGTACACAGCTCAGATCTGGGAACATTCTCCCGCCTCCCCTGACGTTGCCCCTGACCTGGAGCAGTTTTCTTCGATGCTCGTTTCGGGGACCTTCCTGGAGCCCACCTAACGGATCTGTTCGACCCCAGCTCGACTCAAGTTCGACTCAGGTTCGACTCAGGTTCGACTCAGGGTCGACCCAAATCGACTGACGTTCGAGGCAGCTTCGACGCACGAGTGGAGCGAGTGGCTCCAGGAAGGTCCCCGGAACGAGCATCCAAGTTTTCGGGTCATAGCTCTGCTCTCCGGCGGCAGTCCGGGCACCACTGGATCGCGCGCGGCCGCTGGCACGCACCCCGAGGCTGGCAAACCGCCGAGGAGCAACGTTGACGCTCGAGGTCCTCGGTCCTCGAAACTTCGCCCCCTCCAAGCCTGACCCAGAGTCCCAGTAAAACGACGCGAAGATCGGGACAAAATCGGATCGGGATACTTCGAAATCTCTGAGAATCGGCGGGTTTGGAGGATGTGTTGGGCGCCGCGGCCGCTCCAGAGCGTTCCGGAACGCTCTGAGAGCGCTCCGGAACGCTCTGGAGCGATTTATCCTGATCCAAGCCCTGTTTTACCCAGGTTTGGCCCGCCTTGCCGTGTATCTCGGCCTCCCACATGTGGTCCAGCCGCATCGCCGATGCATCGGAAATTCAGCCACGATATGGAGCCCGGTTTTCTCCACGCCAGCGTCTCGGATGCATCGCCGACGTCTCCGATGCATCGTCGACTCATCGGCGATGCATCGGCGATGGGGCGCGGTCCTCCGATCCCATCTGCGTGGATCCTACAGTCGACCCACATGGTAAGGATGGGCACCCTTCCCAAGGGTACCCTTGCATCCTTCCATCCTCGGTCCGTCCTTGGCCGCTTTCGTTGGCCGCGCCCTGCTCGAAAAGCCTCGAAATGGTACTCCAAGGCCCTTGCATCCTTATTCGTGCGTCCTTCTGTTACGGGCCGACTGTACTTCGGAGAACTGTGATGGATCTCAGGCTCCCGCCTCGCACGTGCGATGCCGCAGGTGCGCGAGGGCATCGTCATGCTTAAGATCGCGGTGATGTGGGCACAGGCGGCCCTCTCCTCAGGGTTGATGCGCGGTGCGATCTTTTCGCGCCTCCCTATTTCAACTTTGAGCCAACCGCCTCACCGTGATCGTTTACATACAGTGGGGGGCCATGCCAAGAAACACCCTGCTTCCTTCCAGGGTACCCTGGGTTGTTTGGGCTTCGATTGTTTAACGATGGAAAGCGTGACGTCCGTGTACAAAAAACAACGGACATCCTGGATTTTCAGGGTTGGGATTCTTGTGGAGGGTTTCCTGTGACCGAGCCCCAACTGTACGCCATCGCTCGCAGGACAGCTCGTCCACGTGGCTGGACGCCTCGTTCACACGGCTTTCGAAGTGGCTTACGAAAACGAGCGGGTCCTCCTGCGGTCCCAGGCCTCCAGTCGGACGAGTCCTTCGAAATTCGGCATCAACTCATGGGAACCGTGTATGTCCTTGAAATTTGGCCCTTCGCGTGCGCTAGTGTCTGCTAATTAATGGGAGAGCGTCCGGCTAGCGATGATCCGCGTCGAATTAGCGCCGATTCAGTGTCGGTTCGTGTCGTTTAGCGTCTGTTAGTGTCGGTTCCCGATTGCCAGTAAGATGGCATGGACGGTTCCATGTGTTGCCACAGGGCCTTGGAACGTTAGTTTGCTCTCCTTGATAGATGCAGTTCGTAGAACCGCCTACAAGTAGCTAGTCTTGATGACTGGACTGGGTATGGAAATAATGTGACGAAGACTGACAGCAGTTCCTGTCCACTGTGGGCACGTATCGCTGTCGGTGTCGCCACGGACGTGGTCCATTTTACAGCAAGTCGCCTGCCAAACAGCGGCCGCTGTCCGTGTGGGATACGCTGTCCTCGTTTTCGCCTTCTTGGGTCTCCATGGTTTTCGCCTTCTTGGGCCTCCTGGGAGGCCCTCGTCGCCACAACTGGATTCGCGTCGAGATTCTGATCAGAACGCACCCTGGGAGAGGTTCTGGCAGATCTTGGTTCCGATCTTGGTTCCCATCGAGAGATGCAGTCCGTAGAGGTCGACTGCACGTAGCGAGGCACGTTGGACGAACGACGTCGAAGCATCAACGCCGATACATGCAAGTTATGGCTCTCGTATCTGTCATGAACGCTACGGCGCTCCTGCGCAGCTTACCGCTTGGCAGCTTATACCGCTCTGGCCGCTTAACGAAGAAGGCCCCGAATCGCCGGACAAGTCGCTCCCAGACGCTCACGACGGCCCCCACGAGGCCCACACCGCCCCCAATGCGCTCCTCGACAGCTTTCAGACGACCTACAGCGCCCCCAGAACGCTTCCACGATTCCCGAACGCCCCCAAAGAGGGCCCCACGATACAACAGTGGTCTTCCATAGGTTTGACAAGCTACGGGGTTTCCGCCTTTCAGGCTCGCCGACGCGCCGAGTCAGCCCCAGAAGCACCGACACTCGCATCCCCATCGTGGCCCCCTCCTGCCTCGTCTCTCCCTTCCTTCCCTCCTCCCTCCCTGCCTCCCTGCCCCCTCCCTCCTCCCTCTCCACCCACTACGCACGCGCGCGCGGAGCCACAGGTCCGCTACGACACGCGCCCGCGGATAGAGAAAACCAGCGCCATGGTAAGGGATGGGAGGGAGGGATAGGACGTCAGATATGACGCGAGCGCACCTAGCTTGTCCTCCCCCCTCCTCCTCCTCCTCCTCCTCCTCCTCCTCCTCCTCCTCCCTCCCTCCCTCCTCCTCCTCCTCCTCCTCCTCCTCCTCCTCCTCCTCCTCCTCGTCCTCCCTGGGCGTCCGGGCCATGTGGTGCCCGGGCTCCTCCCGGGGGCGCCGCTGGCTCGGCGAGGGGGGGGGGGCGCCCGCTCCGGCCGGCGCCAAGATGGGTGGTCCACGTTCGGCCGCGGGGGGCGCTCCGTACGTGGACGGGTGGGAGGAGGGAGGGAGGAAGAGGGAGGGAGGGAGGGAGGGAGGGAGGAAGGGAGGAAGAGGAGGGAGGAGGGAGGGAGGGAGGGAGGGGGAGAGGGAGGAAGAGGGAGGGAGGGAGGGAGGGCGGAGGGCGCTCCAGTTTTTGGCCACGAGGGGCTTCATGTGATCCGGGGTGGAGGGCGGAGGAGGAGGAGGAGGAGGAGGAGGAGGAGGGAGGAGGAGGAGGAGGAGGAGGGAGGAGGAGGAGGAGGAGGAGAGGAGGAGGGGGAGGGAGGAGGGAGGAGGAGGAGGAGGGAGGAGGAGGTGGAGGAGGCAGGAGGAGGAGGCAGGAGGGAGGAGGGAGGAGGGAGGAGGAGGGAGGATGAGGAGGAGGAGGAGGGGGTGAGGAGGCAGGAGGGAGCAGTGAGGAGGTCCCAGTGGCTGGGGGACGCTTCTTCCTGGCCAGGCCGCGGGGGTGGCCGTTTTCAGCAGCGGCTTCGTCATGCCGCCTGCGGCTCCGAGCGCGGGCGGTCCTCGTCCTCGTCTCGTTCCAGCTTTGGTCGTGGCCCTCCTCCTTCTCCTCCCTCCTCCCTCCCTCTTTCTCTCTCCTCACTCCTCCCTCCCTTTTCCCTCTTCCTCCCTCCTCCCTCCTCCAATTCCTCCCTCCTCCCTCCATTCCCTCCCTATGCAGGGGACACTCCGTGTAAAGGCCAGTGGTCCGCAAACTCACGAACGCCGCCGAACTGAGACACACCGCTACCCCAGCGTTCGATCCATTGTTCTCCTCCTCCTCCTCCTCCTCCTCCTCCTCCTCCCAGCCAAGCTCAATTTACACACCTCCTGGATCAACTCTTCCGGGGACGTGCTTGCCGGCAGACAAATGTCTGTTTTTTAGTTGAAAGCGAGACCTGAAGCCCAGTCAGCGACGATCCACGCCAGCAGCAGGGATCGCAGCAATTGATACACGTCAAAAGCACACATGCCGATGTCATTGGCCCAAACCGTGATCAGACTTATCACCGACTCGTACTGATCACTGATCAGTACGAGTTGCCGCGGGATCTGAGACAGGAAGTAGCAAAACATAGGATCAAGGCCAGGGCGTAGAGGCTCGCGAAGAGGAGGAATCCAAACCAATACATCAACCGACTGGCCTACAGGAAGACATAACCCGCTGGACGTCGACAACCGTCGTCTGGCAGATAGGATTTCGTCTTGGTGCTCTCCAGGCCATTGTCGTGGCTCCCAGGAATGCTGTCTCGTGCGCCCTCCTAAAGGACTTGGGGCTACTTGGGTTACCTGTCTGGGGGGCAGCTCGTGTGCATGGCGTAGGCCGCTCAGCAAAAGGTGTGCGTTCTTCTGTACGGCTTTCTTCGAAGCGTCCGCGCATCTTGACGAGGTCGGTAGTCGTGACGAGGCGCTGGTCGCGCAACCTTTTGGAAGATGGTGACAGAACAGTTGTATCAACCAGATGCGTAGAACTTATGAAGCCCTGATTGCCATCCCCCAGATTCATGCCCTTCCTCCGCCACTCCAAGATCGCCTCGACCGTCTCTTACAGGCCAGGAGTAACTTTTCGGCCCGATGTGAGCTCTCCGAGCGTTTTCAGTGTTTTCATCCCGAGGCCCAGCTAGATCTGGTCACTGTGAATATCCGTCGAATGTGCACCCTTGTCCCCAGCTTACCCCTCGCCGTTTCAGGGAGCTTGCCAAGGCCTCGCCGCTGATGCCGACGTGCTGTGGTAGGCGACGACATGGCACGCTCTTATAGGTGCCCGCGTCTTGACGTACAGTGGGGGCGCGCATCAAGAAGCCAAATGCTTTTCGTCAGCGTATCCTGGGTTTCTTCGCTCCGTGCGCTGCGCGGTGACCTCCCGCAGCCGTTGAAGGAGCTGCTGCGTTCAGGGTGATCCGGGCTTCCCCTCAGCTGTGCCTCGCGCCCGGGTTTTCAGGGTTTGGGCTTCTTGCGAGGGTTTTTTTTGCGGCCGCGCCCGCACTGTGGTGCCGGCTCGCGTTCCCTCGCTTCCTCCGTCCGTCGCCCTCTGTCCCTTGCCGTCGGATCCGCTCGGGCTCTCCAGGGCCTCGGCCCGCTCTCTCCGCTGCTCCGATGGTGTCTCGGCGTCCTGCCAGTTGCTCCTCTGCCGCGTGCTCGGTCCAGCACGCGTGCAGAGAAGGGGGCCCCATCGGGGCGGCCCCGTTCCTTTTCGCGCGCCTCGCGTAGGCCCGAGTCCAGCCAACGGCCAGAAGGTCCGCTGCCGCCCGGGGCGTCCTGCGGCGGCGAACTCATCCGAGGCAGCTGCAGCTGCGTTCCTCCTTCTCCGCCTCCTCCTCCTCCTCCTCCTCCTCTCCGTCCCTCCCTCCCTCCCCCTCTCTCCCTTTCTCTCGCTTCGTCTCGTGCTCCTGTCGCGGGTCACCCTCGTGTCGAAATCCAATCGCGGTGTCGCCGGCCAGGCGCTCCCCGTCTCCCAGGAGCACATGGACATGGCCATGGCGGCCGCCGCCCAGGCTTTCCCCCCCGAGGGGTCTGGGCATTGGCAGGCGGAGGAGGAGGAGGAGGAGGAGGAGGAGGAGGAGGAGGAGGAGGACGAGGAGGACGACGAGGAGGAGGAGGAGGAGGAGGAGGAGGAGGAGGAGGAGGAGGAGGAGGAGCCGAGTGATCCCAGGATGCGTCCTCTTCACTTCGGGGAACTCGCCGTTGAGCACGAGGGTCCCAAAGAACTTCCACTCAGGAGGGTTCCGTTGTTACAAGGGTCCGCCGTCAATGCCGAGAGGTAGGCGGTGGGAGTCAGGACCACACGCAGGAGAATACCCCTGTGAGAAGGAGCGGGCCCCAGGATGTTACCTTAGGACCATACGCAGGACCATGCGCTCTGATCATGCGTAGGAGGCCGTGTCTCCAGTAGAGGCCCAGGCCAAGAAACGCCCTGCTTGCCTCCAGGGCGCCCTGGGTCTCTTGGGCCTCCATGCGTCTGCGATGGAGAGCGTGACGTTCCCACACCAGGGTCTCGGGGCTGGGGTTCTCTCGTGGGAGGTGTCTTCTGGCCAGGCCCCTGCTGCACGTGAGCGTGCCACGGTGCAGGCGTCGTCCAGCGGCAGGCCCCCTCTGTGAGCAGAGTGGTCCGCTCCACGCCCCTACGACGACGGCGACGGCGACGGCGACGGCGACGGCGACGGCGACGGCGACGGCGACGACGACGACGACGACGACGACGACGACGACGACGACGGCGACGACGCCGACGACGACGACGGCGACGACGGCGACGACGGCGACGCCGACGCCGACGCCGACGCCGACGACGACGACGTCGACGTCGACGTCGACGTCGACGTCGACGTCGACGTCGGCGGCGGCGGCGGCGACGACGGCGGCGACGACCACGACGACGACGACGACGACGGCGACGACACGAGCGCGCTCTTCGGCGCTGCAGCCATTTCCCCCCGTGCGCCGAGCGCCCTGCGCCCGCGGCCGCCAAAATGGCCAGACACCCTTTGGAAACCCTCCCAGAATGGTTCCGAAGACTCTTCGGAGGTTTCTTGAGGGCCTGGGGAGGGTCTCGGGAGGGTTCCGGTTGTCTTGGGGGCAACCCAATCCTTGGCGAACCCCGGACGATTTGACGCTGTGCCATCTCGCGTGAGGACCCGTTTCTTGTCGTCGCTCACCCGATAGATGCCGCGCTGCCAGGCTCGGGCGGGCCTTGCATCGAGTCCGCTCCAGAGCGTTCTGGAACGCTCTCGGAGCGTTCCAGAACGCTCTGAAACGGCCGCGGCGCCCGATACGTTCGGTATTAAATCATGGGAGCCTGGTATACCCTTTGCATTCTGTCTTTAGGGTCGAATAGCGTCGATTAGCGTCTGGGAGTCGATGTGATAGCGCCGATTTAGCGTCGATCAGCGTCGATTAGCGTCGATCTAGCGTCGATTGGCGTCGATTTAGCGTCGATGAGCGCCGATTCGCAAGAGCGGACAGGACGGGACGGGATGCTCCCATGAGTTGCCACCGAAGATGCGTCCTCCAAAGCCGCCGATTCTCAGAGATTTTCGATATATATATATATATATATATATATGTATAGACATATTTATATAGATGTATATAAATGTATACGCATACATGTCTGCCCGATGTTGTCTCGATGCTGCCTTCGTCTCACATGTACCCGATTGAGATCCGCAGGGCCTGGCCCCCCGCCGGCTGCGCGGCCGCCCCAGGCGCAGGGCCTGTTCGAGGAGGCGGACGACAAGGCCGGCGAGGCCGCCCGCGCGCGCGGCGGTCGTCGCGGCGGTCGTCGCCGTCGCCGTCGCCGTTGTCGTCTTCGTCGTCGTCCTCGTCGTCGTCGTCGTCGTCCTCGTTGTCGTCGTCGTCGTCGTCGTCGTCGTCGTCGTCGTCGTCGCCGTTCTCGTCGTCGCTCACGTGGTCCTCGTCGTCGCGCCTCGCCGTGAAGGAGACGACGACGACGGCGGCGGCGGCGGCGACAACGGCGGCGACAGCGGCGGCCGCGGCGGCGGCTCGAGGAAAGCCCTCGGCAGCGTGCGCGCTTTTCCGCACGCGGTCGCCGTGACGGAGTTGGCCCCTGAGGGGAAACGGGGCCCTCGGGCCTCCCGCCGTTCTCGTCGGCGAGCGCAGGGGGGAAGTGAGCCGGGGCGCAGGCCTTCTCGGGAGGCGGCGGGGCTTCTCGGCAGCCCTCCGGCCCTCCGCGGCGTGTTCTGTGTCTCCCAGGAGGGTTTTGGCGCCTGCTCGGAGCGCCCGAGGCCAGGCGCTTAGACCTAGGCGTGTCCGCCGCCTGCCGAGGTCCCCGGGCATCGATCCCCTGGGCGGTGGTCTTGGATCTATCCCCGCACCCCCCCTCCTTCTGGCGCGCTCGGCCCTGGCGCCTGCTCCTCCTCGTCCTCGTCCTCGTCCTCGTCCTCGTCCTCGTCCTCGTCGTCAGCGTCGTCGTCGTCCTCCTCCTCGTCCTCGTCCTCGTCGTCGTCGTCCTCGTCGTCGTCGTCGTCGTCGTCGTCGTCGTCGTCGTCGTCGTCGTCGTCGTCGTCATAGCCCCGACCCCTGCCTTGGACAGCTCGGGGCCGCCTCTGGCGGCTCGGAGAAGGAACACCAACCAGTATGAACCTCAGCTCTCCGAGGCCCGCGCGGACTCTTGGCTCGGCGCTGGCCACCATCGGCGGCGCCCTTCGCTCCCCCTCCGGGCGGCCTGGTGCCCTGCGGCAGTCGGGGCCGAACCCGTGTTCTGCCCTCCCTCCTCGTGGCGCCCGCGCTCGCTTCCTGCCTGCCGTGTCCAACGCGCTACGGCGCGTTGCACCGCGCGCCAGGCCGACCGGCGCTCGACCGCTTCCGCACCTCTGCGCCCGCTGACGGGAGGCGGGAGGTGTTTTTTTCACGCTTGGAGGCTCTGAGCTGCAGTCAAGCCGCATGGCAAGGATGGGCACCCTTCCCAAGGGTACCCTTTTGCATCCTTGCCTCCTCGGCCCATCCCTGGTAACTTTCTTCGCTGGCCGCGCCCCGCTCGAAAAGCTTCGCAGTGGCCTTCCGAGGCCCTTGCGTCCTTGTCGCGCATCCTTGTGATGCGGGCCGACTGCATCTGATGGGCTTGTTTTCCACCACCACCATACGTTGGAGCGGGAGGGGGTCCTCCTCCTCCTCCTCCTCCTCCTCCTTCTCCACCTCCACCTCCTGCTCGTCCTCCTCCTCCTCCTCGTCCTCCACCTCCTTCCCCATCCAACTTATGGTGGTGGTGGTGGAAAACAGGCCCATCAGCATCTGCGGGCGAACCCTGGCGTGGAGGTTCACCGCACCGCCGCCGCTGCGGAGGAGCCCTGGAGGAGGAGCCCCGCGCCGCCCCTGCGCGCGCCGCGAGCGCCGCGGCTCCAGGCCGTCACCCTGCTGGTCATCTCGGAGGTCTGCCTCTCGGGCGGCGAGGCCCCCCCCTCGCCCGCCGCCTCCCGCCGCGCCGCCCCCCCTCCGCCCCTCCGCCCGGCCTCGCCCCCCCCGCCCCCCTGGCTCTCTCGGCCCCTCCGCCCTCTGGCCCCCCCCGTTCCTCCCCCCCTCCCCCGAAGCAGAAGCAGCGCCCTAAACATACACTTTTGGCGCTCCGCGCGGATTTCCGGGATCCGCGCTTGGCCCCCCCGGCGGCGCCTCCGCGCGCCAGGGAGCGGGGTCCAGCGCAGATCCGAGAAATCCGCGTGGAGCGCCAACAGTGTATGTGTATGGAGTTTTTCTTCTATTCCCCACCCCCTCCCCCCTGTCTCTCCCGCCTCCTCCCGCCCCCCCCTCCAAACTCTTTCCCACGTTTCACAATAATGCACAACATGAGTACTGCTCTCCTCCCTCGAAGACGCCTGCGAGGTGTCCTGGCCTTCTCCGCGTGTTTGTTTTTACACGCAAACTGCCGCCGAGTGGATAATTCACATGTGTTGTTTTCCAATCCGAACGTGTTTAGTCCTTTCAGAATGGCACTCCCGCTACAGCGTTGGCCCGCTGCTGCACCCCAGCGACCGCGTCTCTCTCGAAGAGCGGGATGATAGGAGGTAGGAGAAGAGGGCTGGGGGGTGCGGCGTGAGAGCAGATGCGCAGATGCACAACGGCCACATTTTGTTGCAGCGTTCACCCCTCTCGCACGCTACGCTGCAAAAGGAACGGGAGGAGGGGGAGAAATGCACGATGCGGCATCATATTCTGAAGTTTCTGCTGGCCACTTGTCTGGAGCAAGGGGGGGGGCAACTTTGTTAACGTCAGCCCGGCTCTCGCAGCGGTGCATGGACCCGCTTACGCGTCGCGAGTTCAATGGCAACGCGATGCGCTCGGCAAGTCTTGTTCGGAGCTGAGGGGGGGGGGGGAACTTTGTTAACGCAGTGGCATCCATGCCCTCTCATCCCTCTCCTTCTTTCTTTTCCCCTTCGCCCTTTCAGCCTTCTGTCGATCGTGCTCGCGGTCGTGGGCGCGGCTGCGGTCGTCGCCGTCGTCACCGCCAAGTGCTGTTGGGAAAACAGGGGGGGCGTCGTTGTTAACATGCCCTCCTCCCTGCCGATTCCCTTCACCATCTGCTTCCTACCACATTTTGTTAAATTCTGTCCTGGACGCGTGACCGATAAGACAGCATTTGGGGTGCCCTGCGAGCGTGGCCGAGGCGGAAGGTATACCCTGTTACCTCTGACCGTGTGGCTTCCGCTCCTGGGGGCCCGAGTTCGGGTCCATGGCTCGAGTTTCGATTGCATTCGTCGGGCAGAGTCCCATTATTCTCTGCTGTCTCGGCTTACGGGGTCCGAGTCTGGGGTTCACGCCCTCCTCACGCAAGTCTCGTGGCCTTCCGATCAGTGGCCAACCAGGGCGGACTTTCAGGATGAGCCCTCCAAGAGTCCTTGATGACACATCCTTCCTGCAGGGGAAGCTGCTTCGGCAGTAGGTTTTGGTAAACTGCGGCCACCCAGCTCGGAACTCCGATGGTCGCCCCATCCTTACAAATGGGTTTCGGTTCCTTGAAAGCCTATTGCGTACTTGGCAGTCCTCCTCCTCCTCCTCCTCCTCCTCCTCCTCCTCCTGGAAGCCAAAAGCGTGCCACAGCAACCATCATATCCGCCACCAATGCGTACTCCGAGTGCCTCAGCGAACAAGGCCTCGAGATGGTGGACAGAAGCGTGGCCATCACATCCAGCAGCGACATGACCAACGACATCTGCAGACGGGTCGGAGAAAGAGGCCTGCCAGTAACGCCTGCATCAGTCGGCCGAGACCTAGGCCAAGGCAGAGCATGCAAGCCACCAGCAATGATACCTGCGAGCAGCAAGCGAAGGCAGCGAGCTGCGAACACACTGGCCAGCATCGTACTCAAGCTAAGGCGGCTGCGCTCACAGCGCAAGGGAGCGCTGGTCACACAGAGGCCAATAGAATCATACCTCTATTGATGCAAAGCATATGGCGAGGCGCCCCCAGCAGTCACCATCGCCGGGAGGAGATGCGTCGCATCCCTGGGCAAAAACACTGGGTCGGGAGCTGCCTGCACGCGTGCCCAATCCTTGTCCGAGGCCGACCCGGCTGTTACCTATCCTGCGCGGGGTGCTCAGCACGTGGCTCGGCGCCTGGGCCTGCCGAGAGAGCCTTCGTGACGGAGCTTATCGAGCCTGGCCCAGTATGTACAACGGACTCGCGGACGTGCTTGCTCACCACCGGTGGAAGCAGCACAGAGGTCGGATTGGCACTGCTATCCTTTCACTCTGGCATGCGGGCTGGGGCCCGATTTCGCCAACAGAGCGGGTCGACCACCTGGGCCACACATGGCAGATGGGCGACGGTGACGACGACCCCAAGGGCGACCCATCCGACGTCATCCACGCCATCCTGGTAACACAACAGCTGCAGCATGTGGCCAACGCCTCAGACCATTGGCCAGGCAGGGGCTCCGAGCACGGCGTCGACGCCTACGACCTCATCAAGCAGCTGAAGGTGCTGCGCAAACGAGGCAAGCACCACGAGACAGGCGCACTACTGGCGGCGGCAAGTGCTGGCATGTGGACGCCAGATCGCAAGCACAAGACATTCACAGAGGCACCAAGCACCTGCGCCTGTGGCGAGACCTGCGACGGCCTCCACAGCGTCTGGGGTCACTTGCCCGTGCAGAGACGACCACGAGAGCTACGACGAGACGGAGTGCATCAGACAGCGAGCGATCAAAGGCAGCCAGCACACGATCCACGATACCGAAGATGCGGGTGGGGATGGTCCAAGCTGCAGCGACATGTATCATAATCATAATGGCAAATCGAGGCAGCGCAGTACGGACCACTCCCACGGAGACGGCAGACCAACAACAGGGCCGAGCTATGGGCAGGTCTTCAGGCGCTACGACGCTCATCTGAACGGCTACATGTATGGGCGGAATCAGAGGTGGCCACCCGAGGATGGCAGCGAGGCCACCACATACACAGCGCGCGGCGACGTGCGAACTACGATATCTGGAACCACATCGGCAGGGCGCTGCACCAGAGAGCTCCCGAACATGGAGACCTCGAGGAGCTCGTCAAGCTGCAGCACGTGCCGAGCCACTTCGACGACGAGCAAAGGCTGAGGCTCGGAGTGAGCCTTCTGGCGTGGCTCGGCAACGCGGCAGCGGACGCCCTGGCCGATAGAGCAGCGGAGGCACACGCAATTGCAGCTCCGCAGCTCAGGATTTCGCGCGACCTGCGCGCTGGTGTGGAACACATTCAGACGTGCACACATCGAGGCCTGCGCCAAAGACTCCGTTGCCAAGTTGAGCGAGAAGCAGGCCTCCCAGGAGCTCAAGAAGAAAGTCACCAGTGAGCTGAGCCAGGCCCTTTCGGGCTTCCCTCATTTCCTCCTCTCGTCCCTCATTTTCCTCTTCTCCTCCTCCCCTCCGAGCCTTGGTCATGAAGAGATGGCTAAAGAATTAAAGGATTCGTCCTGGGTCTAAGTGTGCCCAGGGCCTCACGGGAAACATCCAGATAGGCGACCATCTTGTCCACCCCTCCCACACTATGCAGTATGCCTAGTTTTGCTCCACTTTGTGGTGTTCCATCTGTAGTCGTCGGTCTAAAGCATGGTTGGACTGTCAAGCGTTTGTTATTAGAGTGTGAACCCCCGACCAACAGCGGGGTGTATGTAATCGATTCCTTGTCCAAAGGCAAGCCAGTGCCACACCAGGGGCCGCCATCGTTCCCGAGCCCCGAGATGGCGCATCCAATACGCGTTACTCGACATCGTCGTCGCCGACATCGTCGTCGCCGAAGCTCCTTCGAAACTCTTTTTCCTCCTCCTCCTCCTCCTCGTCCTCGTCCTCCTCCTCCTCCTCCTCCTCCTCCTCCTCCTCCTCCTCCTCCTCCTCCTCCTCCTCCTCCTCCTCCCCCCCATTCCTCTTCCTCCCCTCGCACCGCCAGGGCTTCCGAGAGCGGGAGCCCGAGAAGGCGCTCCAGGCCGCGGAGCAGGCCCTCCTCGCGCCCTCCCCGCCCCTCTCCGTCGGCCCGCCCCGGACCCTGGGCCCCGCGCCGGGTGCAGACCGGTGGGGGGGGCCCCAGGTCCAGACAGCTCGACCACACGTAAGCAGTAACCCTTCGCCGGAGTGACCCTTAGGGTGCGGGCCAGCCGGGGTCCCCCGATCGCGGAAGGCGCTGCGGTGGCAGCGTCTTGCGCGCTCGTGTTGGGTCCCCCGCGGCTCCCCGAAGGCCGCGCACCACAGGGCGCCTCCTTGCCCAGGGCCACTCCCTGCACGTGTGGTCGAGCAGTGCTCGCCTCGTGAAGAGAGTCGGGGCGGGAGGCTTTTCGTGGGCTTCGGCCTTCTCGGGGCCCTCACCGGGCCCCGGGGCCGTCGAAGAACGGCTCCGGGTGAACAGCGGGTCCGGGGGGAAATGGTCGGGAGACTTTTGGGGGCCGCGTAGTGAAAACATCAGGACGTCGTATGTCTGGGGGCAGTGTGGGTCGTGCCCCACGGGGAGCTCCTGCGGCGATGGGCGCGCCCGCCATGGCCCCCCACCTCCCCCGCCCACTTCGGCGCCCACGGGGGGCCGCACACGCGGCCCCAGTGGGCACGGCCCCCCCTGCCGCGCTGCGCTCCTGTCGGCACGCCCTTGGCCGTTGGGGGTGTGCCGATGTGTGCGCGGTCCGGCAGTCGACATGATCCACGCTGGTAGCGCGGATCGTGCACCCCAGGGAGCTCCACCGGCGGCCCCAGTGCGCGACATTCGCACGCGGTCTTTCCGCACGCTTCTTTCCAGCCCTCTGGCGAAGCGTGCCCGCGGCCCGCAGTGCACGAGCAGCGGCCCGTCCCCTGCGCTGCACGCAGATGCAGCATGGGGTCGGGGCCGTCACGACGGCATCGGGCTTGGAGGGGGAAGTCAGGGGCAACGTCAGGGGGAGATTTCGGACGTGCTCGGACGTTTCCGTCGTTCGGGGTTCGAGGTTTTCGGGAGTTCTCGCTGCTGCTTTTTTTGCAGCCGCGGGGTGCTCTCCAGCAGCTGCGCCTCGCCGGGAGGGTGCCAGGGGTGCCCAGATCGTTCCGAAGGGCCGCGAGAGATCAGAAGGGAAAAACACACAGACACAATTGATCGTCGATTCCCCAGAAAATATGGGAAAATATGGGAAGTGGTGGGGAAGACAAAAACACAGAAAATATGGGGAAATATGGAGAATCCTGTTACTCGTGTCTATTTATTTGTGTCCCAGGGCCCCTTCAAGAGAGCAGAGTCGATGCCCCACCCCGCCCAGGAATGTGCGGGTCCGCCATCGGCGGCCTTTCCCGAAGTGGGCGACGCAAAATACGGGCTCGACTGCGCGGGCATTCGCGCGTAGGCTGCCCGGTGCCGCGCCAGCGGCCCGCGTAAGCCGCGGCAAGAGGTCGACATGTCATCTCGCGTGAGATCCGTTTGTTTTCGTCGTTCGGCGATGTATCGCCAATTCCAGGTCGATTTTTTTTGTTTATTATTCGGATTATTATTATTATTATTCTTATTATTATTAGTATTATCAGTATTCTTCTTCTTCTTCTTCTTCTTCTTCTTCTTCTTCTTATTATCATTATTATAATTATTGTTATTCTTCTTCTTATTATTATTAGTATTAGTATTATTATTATTATTATTATTATTATTATATTATTATTATTAGTATTATCATATTATTATCATTTTTTTCTCTCTCTCTCTCTCTCTCTGAGCTGGTCCCCCCTGTATAACATTTCCTCTCAGTGTCGGGAACACGTAATACTCGGGTTCGCCAGTACTCGGGTTTGCCGATATTTTTTGACGGGCCTGCCTTGAACTTTGACGGTCCAGCTTTCGTGGGATGCTTGCAGCGGGAGTTCGCCTCAAATTTCAAACTGAGTCTCGCCGTTTTCGGGATGGCCCCGTGAGGCCCCAATCCGAGTCCCCCGATCCCTGGTCTTACGTCTTACGTCCCCCGACCTTCTTGGATTGCGAAGGCCTTACGGCCGGTGCCGCCGACCCTGAAGACGAAGCTGTCTGTGACGCCGTGCAGGCCGAAACGTCGTATATGCTAGATATGTATGTTCCCGATGGAAAAAGTAATGAGTGTGGCCTTTTCGGCCCTTCTTGGGGGTGCTCTTGGAGGGGGCCTGGGACGTCTTGTCCGAGTCCCTCGAAGCCTGGTCTTACGTCTTACGCCCCCCGACCTCCTTGGATTTCCCCCCCCCCCCCCCCCAGCCGCGAGGCCCCAATCCGAGTCCCCCGAAGCCTGGTCTTACGTCTTACGCCCCCCGACCTCCTTGGATTTCCTCCCCCCCCAGCCGCGAGGCCCCAATCCGAGTCCCCCGAAGCCTGGTCTTACGTCTTACGCCCCCCGACCTCCTTGGATTTCCTCCCCCCAGCCGCGAGGCCCCAATCCGAGTCCCCCGAAGCCTGGTCTTACGTCTTACGCCCCCCGACCTCCTCGGACTTCCCCCCCCCCCCCCAGCCGCGAGCAGAGGGCGCGTGGCCGTGGCCGGGGCGGGGGGGGGGTCCTTCTCCAGAGGGGGCCAGCGCGGGAGCGCGCCGAGACGCGATCGCGCGCCGCGTTCGGGCCGGGCGAAAGGGGGGGATTGGGAAAGGGGGCCCAGATGGTCTGGTACCGGAAATTTTCGGTAGCGATTTCGACACACCCCGAATTTCGGTAGCGACCGGATCTTCGTTTGAGGGCGTTGAGATAGCGGATTTCAGAACGGTCTGATACCGTTGGGCGCTACATTTCGGTATTTCGGTAGCGACCGATCTCTGCGGAGCGCTACCGGAAATTTTCGGTAGCGGACCATCAGGGGGGGGATTGGGAAAGGGGGGGGTTACGAAATTTGCTGCCTGCAGCTGGTTTCGGCCTCGCCGAGGGGCCCATTCCTCGATGCATAGCCGCCTCCGGCGCCGGGAGGCGCGGGGAAAATCAGCTACGCGAGCTGATTCTCACCCCCCCCCTTTGCTATCCCCCCCCTTTCGCCCGACCCGACACGTGCTCCCCTCGAACGGAGCCGATGCGCGAGCTCAGGAGGCCTCGGGGGTTGAAAAGAGGCCCACGTTGGTCGAGGAAGCGGAAGCGCGCATTGCGGCCACGTGGGATCAGCGACGGGGTCACGCTTCCGTGCGACATCGACGCGCTCCGTCGCCAGGCGAGGCGGCGCTGGCTTCTGTAGGGGGCCACGTGCGAAGCCTACCCCCGCCCCCCCCGCGATTGCTGAGGGGCAGGGTGGGGTAGGCTTCGCACGTGGCCCCCTAGTTGGCGTGCTCCCTCGTGAGTGTCTCGAAGAGTGCAGCCTCGCGCTGCAGGGCCCGGGCCTTCCACGAGAGTCTTCGTCCAGAGGTCGGACGCTGCGTGACTTTGTGCCTGCTCTGGACAGCGCAGGGTGCTCGGCTTGTGAGCCGGGTGTGTGCCACACGATCTCGGAATACCAGCCGACCCGCACGGTAAGGATAGACACCTTTGCATCCTTGCCTCCGCGGCCCATCCTTGGCCACTTTCGCTGGCCCCGCCCCGCTCGAAAAGCTTCGAGATGGCCCTCCGAGGCCCTTGCATCTGCGGCGGCGTGAGGCAGCAGGCGGAGTCCCGCCTTCGCACCTCTCTGCCCTCAGCACCCCCCTCCGTGTTCTCGTCCTCGCCCTCCTCGTCCCTGTCTCTCGAGGAAGAAACAAACTACATAAACATAATCTTTCGGTGCTCCGCGCGGATTTCTCGGAGCCGCGCTGGCCCCCCCCCCCCCAGCGGCGCCTCTGGCGCCGCACCTGGCGCACTCCGCGCGCCAGGGAGGGGGGTCCAGCGCGGATCCAAGAAATCGGCGCGGAGCGCCAACAGTTCAATTGTATGCAGTCTTTTCTTCTTCTACTATCGTGCCGCTGCAGCTCCCCTGCGCCTATCGGGCGCTCCTGTGTTGGCCGCCACCTGTCCTAAGATCTTTTTGTCTCTCGTGTGGGCCGCGGCGCTTCCCTGGGGTGTGGGGAGACCTTTCCTCCTGCTCCTGGTCCTCCTCCGCCCCCCTCACCCTTCTCGCTCCGCCCGCTTGGCTGGGGGAGGGGAAGGGTGCCGACACGCACCCGGGCTCGAAGACGCATGACCGTGCAGACTTGGCTTGTCTGGCTGCTGGCCTGAGCGGGGCCTGAGCTCGAGAGGATGCTGCAGTTCCGCTCAGCGTTGAGCTGCTGCCGTACCTCACAAGGTGGGCCCTTGTCCTTTCTCTCCCTACCCTCACCTCTCTCACTCCTCATGCCGCTCCCCCCCGACCTTCCGGAGGGCTAACAAATAGCACACGGACCTCGACGTCTAAGTTCTTGGCAGGGTTTTAGGCAGTCCAGATCGGTCTCTAGGTCTGGAGGGCTATTTTTTGCACTCTGGAATGTCAGGGCCCTGCCCCCCCCTCCCGCCTCCCCCGGCCCCTTCCCTCCCGCCCCCCTTCCCCCTCCTCTTTGTCCTTCTCCTCGCCCGGCCCTCCCTCGCCGCCTTTCCCCCGAGCGAGCTCGGCCGGTCTCCGCGCCTCTCCCCGGCGGGCGCGCGCCTGGCCGCAGCGCCCGGGGAGGCGCAGAAGCTCTTCGCCGAGCTGTGCGACCGGGGCTCCGAGGCCTTGGCGCTGCAGGCGGTGGCGCAGGCGCCCCCGCGTCGGCGGGGCCGGGCTGCGCCACGCGCCTCCGCCCCGCCCCCGCCGCCTCCTCCTCTCCCCGTCCGCGGCCCGCTGGGTGCCCGCCGTGTTCTTGCCGCTGCGCGTATCCCCGCCGTTGTGCAGTCTCAGCTGTCCTTGAGGCTTCGGTTGGCCGCTTTAGGCCTGGCCTGTCTCCGCTGCTTTCGCCTAATTCGTCGCTGCGTAGCCCGCTTTGACCTGACTCGCCGCCGGCGCGCTCGCCCGCGGCCGCTGACTAAAAAAGTATCCCCGCCGTCCAGTCCAGCAACGAGCCCTCGGAGTCAGAGGAGGAAGAGGTACCCATAATCGCTACCTTTCCCTCGTTTTGGGCCTCCTGGGAGGCCCTCGTCGCCACCGCTGGATTCGCCTCGAAATTCTGGTCGGAACGCGCCCCGCAAGAGGTCTGGGGAGTAGCGCAGCGGTAACGATATCGGTACCTTTTAGTTTCTCCATCCCCGCCAGCCCATCCAGCAACGATCCTTCGGAGAGTTCTCCAGGTCATGTGAGGGGCAACGATAGGTGAGGATAGGCTCAGGCGGGAACGCGTCGGTCCCCAAGGGCCCATTCGTCGCCGATTGGGGGCCCGACAGCCCAAGCCCGCCGAGGAACGTGCATTCCCCTTGCGTATTTCCTTCGGTAAGCCGAGGTGCCTCCCATGGGGACACTGTGAAGGCCCTTATGAATGATTCTGGAGATTTTCGTGACAGCGGATTAGCGCGAAGGAACTAAGGGTCATTCGTAGAGTCCTTCGATTCGTTGCGCCACAGAGGGCCTTTGAGATTCTTTTTTTGAGACCTTTGGACTCTCTTGTGGGTTTTGTTGGGGGCTTGTGGACCCTCTGAGGGCCATCTTGGACGACAGAGACAGAAAAAAAGGTAGCGTCAGTTACGCCCGTCCCGTCCGAGCCCGACCGTCTTTTGAGGCCCTCTTGGGACGCTCTTGGGGCCCTCTCGGGGACCTTAAGGGCCGTCATGAGACTCTCTTGGGCCATCTTTAGGCCATCTTGAGGCCTCAGAAGTCCACCAGAAGATAGAGCGTGAAAATGTTAAATCATAGGAAGATGCATGTTTGTATCTGTTGATGTGGGGTTCTCGGGGACATCCTTGGAAGGCCTCGTAGTTCGGTGCGGCCGCCTAAAAGGTATATTATGCTTGGATGGGCATTTGGTGTCATGCTGGTTCAACTTGGCATATTTTCTGCCATGTCGGGGGACACCTTGCTGAGCCTTGGGCGATCTCGGAGCCATCTTGGGTGCAAGTGAACCCTCGAACCGCTCCGTTCCTCCCCGCGCTAGGCCCATGGGAGGGGGTCAGTGGACGACGAGGAGGGCTTGTCGAGGACGTACAATCACTGATTCCTGCGCGTGGATTGCCGAAAGGGCCCCGTCTCCGTACAGAGTCGGCGCGTTCCGTCGACAGATCAGGCAGCCCTGGCTTCATGGTTCGGGGTGTGCCTTCCGTGATCCGCGGTCCACGGGTTCTTACATCCATGGCAGCGTGTGCCCGAGCTTGTGAGGTTTGACCCGTCGAACCACCTGTGCCCAGAGTGCCGGTGGGATTCGCGTGCCTGTCACTGAGCGGATCCAGAGCTATGCGCTGTCCGCGTCAGCTCATGCCACATGCCCAACGATCTGACATCATTTCTCGTGCGAAGTTCAGCGCAACTCTCCGGCAAGTGCTCGTAGTCCACTTGTTACGAAAGCTGAGTTGGCTTGGGAATGGTCAGCTTTCACACGGCTTCGTGGCATACTGGTTGTTGTGTATCAGGAGTTGGTGGTCACAGATCTGTCATACCTGTCAGATACGTTCTGGCCGCCCTACATGTTGACCCCATAGTGTTCAGGTATGTGATCTGCGTTGTCGGCGTAACAACATCCCGTTTAACTATATTACGAACCAATGCGAATGCCCACTCGGCGACGAAACCGAATGCTGAAGCAGTCGAATACCAGGTCAACTCGAGCTGAGGTCATGGCAAGCATTTGGCATCTGCTCAGCTCATTGGGCAGATTCGCAGACACGGCTGATTCATTTCGTTGGCTTCGTGATCTTCGCCAGCGCCAGCGACATCCTGGGACCGACCACCAGCAGCCACTCTCGATCGCCTGGGGACGTCAGCGCTTCCGAGCGCACGTGCAGCCACTGCATCGAACTCGGGAGGCACGCCTCGGGGACCCTCAGTCGTCCAGAGCTCGCAGACGTGCTGAGCTTTCTCGGTTGGCCCCTGTCGGACGGGACCCTGTCGTGTGAGGCCCTGTCGCGATCGCGCAGGACCACCTCTGGCGGGACAGTCTCGGGCGGCACCCGCAGAGTCAGTGGTCAGACCCCACCAGGGACCGCATGGGGTGGGACCCGATTGGGCCAGGACCTCCTCGTTGGGAGGCCGCGAGGGGACCGAGACGCCGGGAGCGTCGGAGGAGCACCGCGAGCGTGCCCGCCGACAAGGTGACGCTGGCAATACGCGCAATTCCGCCGAGCAGCATTGATGCACTCAATAGAAACTGATGACTTCCGTCTTGCGAGCACTGCGTGGGGCACTGGCAGCGACATCCATAGCACATTCGCGCACAGTCATGATTTGCGCTTCGCGGTTTGAGCATCACTGATGTCTGAGTCGACGGTGTTGGGCACACTTCAGAGTCGGGTCAAGCTTTTCTTGCTGGCATTTCGCATTGCATTTTGGTGTTTTGGCAGCTGACATGTGTACCGATACGGCATGTGCATACTCCGGCATGTACGAACTTGCTGACAAGCACTGCATTGACACTCCGCGCCATGCATCTTGTTACTTGAAGCTTGGCATGCATGCGGACGGACAGAAAGCTAACACCGAGTTTATTGCTGTATTTTCCGTAATCGTAATGCAATATTTCCCTCGTGGTTCTTCTTCTTTCTCTCATGGCTCCTCTTCCTCTTCCTCACCGTACTCTTCGAATTCCTCCCCATCCATCTCAGCTGTTTTTGCGGAGGGTCCTCCTTGGAGAGCATCTTGGGGACCTCACGAACGTTTATCATGGCTTCTTGAGGCCTTTGGATGCCTACCAGGCGCCTTCTGGGGGCCTGTATGGGGTTCCTTGGGCCACCCTGCATCTCACCGCGGTCTCTCTGAACGACCATGTCACGATTTCGAATGCTTCGGGGAGCGTCTCGGGGCCATCTTGGGCTGTCCCTCGGCTCTCTTCGGGTCATTTTTGGGCCTTGTGGCGCCGTCTTGGAGCCCTCTTGGACTGCCTGGAAGCATTCTGGAACAGTTTCGAGGCGACTTTCGGGCCTTCTGGGCGGTCTCGGACGTCCGGAAGACCGACGAGCAGAGCATTTCCTACATCATGCAAACGACCATGGGGAATCAATGTTTTGCTGCGCTGAACCTTCTTTGGGTCGTCTTCGAGCGTCTGGTGGGTGTCTGGGGTCTCTTTGGGCTCTCGCGGGGCCGTTCGGCCACCCTCCTGGTCGACCGGGGCCCGTTGCGTAGGCCCAGCAAGGGCTTCAGGAGCCTCGGAAACACCATATAAAGGGAATATGCGTGTATACATCTCTATATATATATATATACAGCTGTGACCATAAACGTTTATGCTTATGTAGACATACATACATCTCTATACATACTTAATCATATATGCGCACCAACTTTACATACGCATACACGCCTGCATATATACATACATACCCACACATATACACATCTACATGCATACACACATACACACATACATAGACATGCAAACATGAATTCATACACCCTTACTTGCATGCACATACACTGCATACACTCATACAAGCATGCCTACATCTATACATACGCATACACATACATATATACACACATACACACATACATACGTACGTACGTACATACATACATACAAGCAAGCACACATACATACACGCATACACACAGGCATACACACACGTACACGCATACATACACATCAATACATACATGCATGCATACATACACATACATGCATATGCACACACATACATACACACTTACATACATACACTCATGCATACATACATACATTCAGACATGCACACGCACACGCATGCATGCACGTACGCATGCATCCATGCATGCAAACACACATACATATTTACAACCGTACATACTTACACGCCTTCATCCATACGTACATAATTTCACGCACATACACATGCACACACATGCATACACATACATGCGTGCATGTTCGCGTGCCTGCATCATACCGACCTGCCTACATATATACATACCCGCACACACAAACATACATCCGTTCCAAGTGCATACACTCACATACATACACCCATACATACATTCACACAAACATGCACACACTCACACACATACACATACATGCATGCATACACACATACACACATACATACACCCATGCATACACCAACCTTTCCCTCCGCATATACATACACATTTGTATACACATACATATTTGCATACACTTTTTCATGCATTCATACGTACACACGCACACATATGCATACAGTTACATATACACATCCATATGTACTTACATACCTACATATTTACATACCTACCTAGTACAGATATGTATACATACCTGCATACATACACACCTACACCCATACAGCCATCCATCCATACATCCATGCACACACATACACACAACCAACATACAGACACGCATGTATGCACACATATATATATACATACATACATGCGTATATGCATACACATACATGCATGTACATATATGCATACATCGATACACTCTTATACGAATTCACACGCACATGCATATATTTGTATTTATGTATATATACATATATATATAGGTATGTGTGTGCGCCAGGGTGAGGCACATGCCACATGCACTCACGTGATGCGAATGTGCTTCCCAGCACGGGCACCACACGTGTTGTGTTGCATGACCGTGCAGGCTCGCTTGGCGCGGGCACAACGCGAGTCACAACGTCCTCTCCTGCTATCCCGCCCCCTACCTCTAACCCCCCTTCACCTCCCCCCCGTCCCCGTTCCCTTCCTTGTTCACCTCCATCTCCCTTCACCTCATGCCCCTTCACCTCATTCACCTCTCTTCCCCCCTCCCACCTCTCTTCCCCCTTCACCTCCTCTTCCCTCCCCGTTCCCCTTGTGACCCGCTGCCTGGCCGCCACTCTCCCTTCGCGCCTCCCTTCTTGGGCCCGAGCGCCCCCGACGCAGGCGCACTTGGAGATGGAGAAGCCCGCGGAGGCACAGTGCCGCCTTTTCCCCACTGCCCGTCCCTCCGGCTGCTCTCCTCTGTTCTCTGGGCTCGTCGTCGGCACCGCTCCGAGGGTGGCAGTGAGAGGGTGGCAGGCCCCCTCGTGGCAGGGCTTCGGAGAAGGCTTGAGGCAGGATGCCTTCTGAAGCTTCTGAGGCCGCCCCCTCTGCCTTCCCCCCCTGGGCGCGCCGCCGAGTATTGCACGTCCTTCCGGCCGCTCTCTTTTTTGCTGCTGGCCCTTTTCGGACCCCGCGTCGCCATGTTATGGGCCCTCCGGGACAGAACTATCAGACCTGCGGGGGGGCGATGGGATGAGGAAGAAGAATGAGGAGGAGGGAGCAGGTGGAGGAAAAGGTGCGGGTGTAATGAGGTAATGAGTCAGAGGATGTTGAGAAGGAGGAGGAGGCGGAGGAGGAGGAGGAGGAGGATGATGATGAGGAGGAGGAGGAGGCGTGCAGGTTTCGAGCGTGTCCTGGCAGGGGAGGCCGGAGCCCGAGGCCCACGTGGACGAGCGGGTCTTCGCTCGAGGGGTCGAGCGCGGCAGTCGCGTCGCTTGCGCGTTCCATCGCCTGCGAGGTGCCCGAGGGAGCTCCCTCTAGTGGGGGAGTTCCCGTCTGCGTTGCTCGTCGTTCTGGCAGATCCCCTCCGCCCGTGCTTCGAGGAGACGCATGCATTGATGAAGTCGCGTGGGTTAGCGACGGGCTCCGTTTTCATGTGAAGTCGGCGCGCTCCGTCGCCAAGTCAGGCGGCATTGGCGCCATGCATGGGAGTCTGCGATCCCCGACCCGTGGACCTGGCGCCCAGCGCCAGATCCACGGGTCCGTGATCCATATGAAAGTGTGCGCCTGATCTGTTCTCGCCGTCGCCCCTTCGACGTCTCACCGCGTTCAGTCTTCGTCACGGTCCCCGTTTCCTGCCCCCCCTACGCAAGGGAGGACACAAGTACCTCTACAGTCAACCTGCACAGGAAGGATGGGCAACCTTCCCAAGGGAACCCTTGCATCCTTGCCTCCTCGGCCCATCCTTGACCACTTTCGCTGGCCGCGCCCCGCTCGAAAAGCTTCGAAATGGGCTTCCAAGGCCCTTGCGTCCTCGTCGCGCATCCCTACTGTGCTGGCTGTTTCTACCCGGGCAGTCGGCGTTTCTACTCCGCAGAGTATTGGGCGTCTGCTGAGCAGCCCTGCCCTGCTCCATCCCTTCCCTGGGTGCGTTCACGAAAGGCTTGGCGCGTCGGGGTGCTCGCCAGGAGGCGGTTTCTCTTCCCCCCGTGCGGCTTCTGCCTTGCTTGGAGGTCGGTGCCTCCCAGGGTCACGCTGCCCGTTGCTCGGAGGTCCCTCGGGCTCCTCGGGTTCCCCCCAGGGCTGAACCTAAACGGTGTTTTTCGTTTTCGTTTTGGTTTCGTTCTCCCTCGTTTCGTCTTCAATCCGCCCTTAACGCAAAACGAGATCGAAACGAAAACGGCCCACGAACTCGCCAAGACACCGTTTAGTCCATTCCTGGGTTCCCCGCCCCCCCGTGCATCCTATGGTTACGTTGCCCGTTTCCTGGAGGTTCCTCGGGCTCCCGCAGTGCCTCGGGTTCTCTGGGTTCTCGGGTTTACACCGCCCCCAGTTGCTTCAAGCAGTGCCAGGCAATGCCAAGCAATGCCACGCAGTGCCAAGCAGTGCCAAGAAGTGCCAAGCCATGCCAAGCCCTGCCACACAATGCCAAGCAGTGCCAAGCAATGCCAGGTTAAATGCCAAGCCATGCCAAGCCATGGCAAGCAATGACAACCCATGCCAAGCAATGCCAAGCGATGCGCCCAGCGATGCGCCCATGCAATAGGCTCTCCCCTCATCACGGTCGCGCCGGGTTCATGTTCTGCCCTTTATCCTCGACTACACGTAAAAGTGGCTCTTCGCCAGATCGACCTTTGGTGCGGGCCCATTGGGATCGCGATCGCCGAGCGCGATGCGATCGCAGCGTCTTGCGCGCTCTTGTTCGGTCCCCCCGCGGCTCCCGACAAAACGCGCACGCAAGGTCACTCTTACCCAGGGTCGCTCTGGCGTGTAGTCAGGCCAGCCACAACTGGGGGAGCTTTGGTCCTCACCCCCCCGGGGGGACCCATCGATTTCGACACCGCTCTCGAGGGGTCGCCGATGCCATGGGTTCCCCCAGGGGGGGTGAAGACCAAAGCTCCCCCAGTTGGTGGCTGGTCGGTGTAGCCGCCGCGCCGAGAAAATCCGCCCCGGCGGCCTCTCGCCGCCGCCCCCGGCTGCCCCCC